TGAAGTACAATTTTTCTGATGTCGTTGTCACAAACTATAACTCTGAGTACGGTTGTTGTCTCCATACTTAGTCTTTCTACAAAGGTTAAAGAAATTAGTTGGTTTTCTTAAAATAAAGTGATTGCTCACCCCAATTTCATCATTCTAAACCCATCCTTTGAAAAAATATGATTCGAAAAAGTTCCACTCATCCTTGTTTATAATTTAAGAAGTACACAGAGGCATTAAGAATTTCATGTGACTTGTGCAATACAGTTCAAGCATTTAAGGCATAAAATGATGGGTTTGTTCAGAAATTAACTTCAATATACACTCACCTAAAGGATTATTAGGAACACCATAATAATACTGTGTTTGACCCCGTTTCGCCTTCAGAACTGCCTTAATTCTACGTGGCATTGATTCAACAAGGTGCTGAAAGCATTCTTTAGAAATGTTGGCCCATATTGATAGGATAGCATCTTGCAGTTGATGGAGATTTGTGGGATGCACATCCAGGGCACGAAGCTCCCGTTCCACCACATCCCAAAGATGCTCTATTGGGTTGAGATCTGGTGACTGTGGGGGCCATTTTTGTACAGTGAACTCATTGTCATATTCAAGAAACCAATTTGAAATGATTCGAGCTTTGTGACATGGTGCATTATCCTGCTGGAAGTAGCCATCAGAGGATGGGTACATGGTGGCCATAAAGGGATGGACATGGTCAGAAACAATGCTCAGGTAGGCCGTGGCATTTAAACGATGCCCAATTGGCACTAAGGGGCCTAAAGTGTGCCAAGAAAACATCCCCCACACCATTACACCACCACCACCAGCCTGCACAGTGGTAACAAGGCATGATGGATCCATGTTCTCATTCTGTTTACGCCAAATTCTGACTCCACCATCTGAATGTCTCAACAGAAATCGAGACTCATCAGACCAGGCAACATTTTTCCAGTCTTCAACTGTCCAATTTTGGTGAGCTCTTGCAAATTGTAGCCTCTTTTTCCTATTTGTAGCGGAGATGAGTGGTACCCGGTGGGGTCTTCTGCTGTTGTAGCCCATCTGCCTCAAGGTTGTGCATGTTGTGGCTTCACAAATGCTTTGCTGCATACCTCGGTTGTAACGAGTGGTTATTTCAGTCAAAGTTGCTCTTCTATCAGCCTGAATCAGTCGGCCCATTCTCCTCTGACCTCTAGCATCAACAAGGCATTTACGCCCACAGGACTGCCGCATACTGGATGTTTTTCCCTTTTCACACCATTCTTTGTAAACTCTAGAAATGGTTGTGCGTGAAAATCCCAGTAACTGAGCAGATTGTGAAATACTCAGACCGGCCCGTCTGGCACCAACAACCATGCCACGCTCAAAATTGCTTAAATCACCTTTCTTTCCCATTCTGACATTCAGTTTGGAGTTCAGGAGATTGTCTTGACCAGGACCACACCCCTAAATGCATTGAAGCAACTGCCATGTGATTGGTTAATTAGATAATTGCATTAATGAGAAATTGAACAGGTGTTCCTAATAATCCTTTAGGTGAGTGTTTATAATCCATTTAACTGTACTGGCACCAACAACCATCCCACGCCTTTAGGTGAGTGTATATATATATATATATATATATATATACTCACCTAAAGGATTATTAGGAACACCTGTTCAATTTCTCATTAATGCAAAATAAGTTGCTTCAATGCATTTAGGGGTGTGGCAATTTAACCTAATTGCTTACGTTGCACGAGTGCCCACTACTGGCGGCAATGGCCTGAATTGGAACGTCCTAAGCCCTTGATCACTTGGAATCATCTATGGAGTTGCTTTATTATTATTTTTAAAATTCCCTTTAAGAATTTGTTTAACTCTTCGGGGTCGCCGATCACGCCGGCGTGATCAAGTCACATGACCAGTTTAAGATGTTGAAGCTTAAAAACAAAGTCACGTTGAGCGCTGCCGTCCACTTCTGTCGAAAGTGCTGGCTTGAAATTCGGTTTTACTATTTGTTTTGTGTTGATAGACCAAGTAAATGATATGATCATTTAAACTTTATATAAAAAAATATTGACGCGTTCGTAAAAGAACGCAAGATGGGATGCGACAGGCGTTGCATTTATTCTAATAACTTTGTCGGTTTTTGTCATAAAACAAAACGGTCTTTTGACAGTCTATAGAACTTGACATTTTTTTCCGGTGCGACTGATTAGTACAGACCAAAACTCGACTATTTTTCAGCAGCAATCATAAGCCAAATTTGCGAGTCCATTCAGTTATTTTTATTTATTTATTTCAACATTAATTAAAGATGCTTTGCACCAGATTTAGCTTAAGCTAGTTTCCATCTGCAGTCCCCGAGCAGGTAAGTTGCAATACAAAATATACAATATAAAATGTAATAATTAATCACTCAAATACAGCTATTAGTTAATGCATTCAACCATTCCCCATTACAATCATCAGTCTAACTAAATCATACCAATATTACTACAATAAAACCTCACTAAAAAGTCATATTTACATACACAATTATCTATGCTGGCACAACTGGTTGTCCAATAGCACTTTCCTTGTATTACGAGAAAAAATCTTCAGGTCAAAAGTAAGTTTTAGACTCTGTGGGAGTTTGTTCCATTCTTTAATGCCCTTGAATGAGAAGGCTGTCTGTGCAAAGGCCGAGCTACGTTTAGGCAACCTGCAATCATTGCAACTTGTTGACCTGGTGCTCCTAGTCATCTGTTCTGAACAAAACTGTACTAAATTTTCAGGGGAGGAGGCGCTATATTATTCAAAATTTTAAAAACTAATCGCACGTTGGCATACACAATTATATTATCAAAGTTTAACATACTGTATTTTCCCAAAACCAGACAGTGATGATATCTCAGTGGTTTTTTATCTAATACTTTAACAGCTTGATTATATAAAGATTTTAAAGGTTTTATTGTTGTTTCACTCGTCTGTGACCAACAAGAAATACAGTAATTAATATGAGGAATTATCATTGCCTCCAAGTAAATTTTTGCAGCATCATGAGTCAATGCATTTCTAATATGTCTAAAACCAGACAAACTGTATTTTAGCTTGCTGCAAACTTTCTTAATATGTTTTTTAAAAGTAAAAGTAGAATCCAAAACAAGACCTAAATATTTAAATTCTTTCACTACTTTTATTTGACTCTGATTTGCATAGATGCATGGCGAGGAGGACTTCAGTCGATTAGTTTTGGTAAAATACATTGCTACTGTTTTATTTACATTCAGTGTGAGCGAGGCAGAGGTAAGCCAACCTAATATTTTTCCCATAACATTGGTTAACCTATTAGCTACAATGGTTGCATCACTTCCATGCACGTAAACTACAATATCATCCGCGTACATTACCATATCCACCTCACCACATACTGAAGGAAGATCATTTATGTAAAGCGCAAACAGCAATGGCCCAAGAACAGAGCCTTGTGGGACACCCATGTCATTAGCCTTAGTTGTTGATAACTTACTTTTGACTCTTACGCATTGGACACGGTTACTGAGATATGATTCTACCCACTGCAGTGCACTTAGAGACAGTTCAGTGTCATTGTTTACGTTCAGTGCCTCCAAAATGGCCGACTTCCGGATTGATGACACGTCGTGAAAACCCTCTATAGAGTAAATCAGTTCGTTTGGTAGAGGGAAATCTAATGGCTGAACTCATGCTACCTTCTTGCTCCTCTAAAGTCCTGTGTTGAGAACTCTGAGTTTCTGCTCAACTGTGAGTATGGATTGATTTATATATTTGACGTTGTGTTTGTTTCATAAGATCATTGATGTTAGCTATTTGCTTTCTTTCTAGAAAGGACATTTTATTTCCACATGTTCTTTTGTGAGGACTGATTGGATACAAGAGGCAGTGAAGTGCAGTTCATGCTGGCAACGAGGCTACAACACATGGCCAGTAACGTGGGGCTGAGGACAACGATTCACTGAATGCTGTTGACTGCGATCTTTTCTCACATTGTGGATTATAGGATTACAACCATTGCATCGCACTCAAGTAGCCTTGTGGATTTGTAACTCATTTCATCTTCATCATCACTTCAACTTATCAAAGACAGGACATTCAACAATAAGTTTACTTCATCTCATTGAGTCATTATTGAAGAGAAAAAGACCTTTGAGTGCTTTGCAGTTTATTTCTATTGTCTGTTTGGCACATGTATTAAGCACTGGTGGGGGAAATAAAAAAAGGTTTAAATGATCATTTGTTCTGTGAAGAGATTTATTTATCATTACATGTCAAAAATCTGTTAAACCACCTCAGAGTAACATCTTTAAAAGAAAGGAGCTGTTACAGTATATTCCCTATATAGTACTATATAGCATGGGGACAAAAGCATACACCGTAAACTGAGAGACAATGGACACAGTTTTTTTAATACATAGAATATTGTCAAACAGTAGACATTGTTTCAATTCTTCCTAATGATTCTACCCCACACTTTAACGTGAAAAGAAAACGTAACCTCTGGATGGCCTTATTCAGCACATTTGAACCAGACAGTTCCCATAACCATGCACTTAAGTTCTACTTAATAACGAGAAATCTACATGTTGTTTTGGGAAAAAGATATTATTCCAACGTACAATCAGGAGTGACGTATTTAACATGATCTTGAGAGCGTGATTTGCAAAGGTGTTGAGAAACCCAGCTTGTAGCAATGTGGCATCAGTATCACATCAATTTAGAAAGAGTCTAGAAAAAGTTCAGGACACTTAGCAGAGAAACAAATAGCATAATCAATGAACCACACAGAATTGGAGCTGTGGATATGTTTCGTTTGTCTTAGGTCCAAATATCTGTGAACAAGAAATATAAATACAGTGATATGTAATAGATTGAAATATGAAATATAGCAGAGTTTTAAAATATGCATAACCAATACATCACTCAACTGAATTAAATGAGGCTGTTTAATAAATAAATAAAATAATTTAATGAATTCCACAGACCTGCCCTCTCTCCAGTGGTCTCCAGAGTCACAGTGCTAAAAGAGAAAAAGAAATTTAGGATAATCAGGCTGTGTATTATTTAGACCAGCATTTGATTCTATACTTAATTAAAGCAGAGGACAGTAAAAACACATAGCTAAGCAAACATGTTTTGATTTAGGACATAATGCAACAAAAAAATGTCATGATACTAAAATATGAAATGTTTTAATCAAATTTAAACACTTTCAATAAATGTTTTTGACTCACCTTGGCAGATGACCCCAGCATCTTCATAGTGCCCACAGTCATGTGATCCCCATGCATTTGATGAACAGTTTGCCAGTGTAGATTCATTCCCACGGCACTGGACATCATCCAACCATATTTGTCCAGAACCTTGTCCAAAATAAGCAACACTCTTTGCCTCTATAACACTCCCACAGCCCAGTTCTCTACACACCACTGCTGCGTCTAAAGAGTCCCACAGATCATCACACACTGTTCCCCATATTCCATTGTGGAGAACCTCCACTCTTCCAGAACAGAGATTGGTTCCATTCACCAACTTGACCGCTATTAATTACAAAACAATATAAAGAGAGAAAAACAGGTCATTAGGTTTTTCGTTTGTCAATTTGTGTTTGATTGTTTGTTTGTTTGTTTGTTTGTATCTTTGATGAGATAAACAAAGTGGTAATAATAGTGTAGTTTCATCCTCCTCAGCATCATTACCTTTGACTCCTGGCAGTGAGGCAGTCGTGTTCAATCTCGCTGTTGAAGCAGAAAAAAATGAACACACAAATACACAACAATGTTATGTTTAGATGAAGATGTTGACATGTCAGATTGCTTGCAGTGCTTCATGGTTTTCAGTTCAAACTAATTTTTTAGGCTGTTTTACAAGTTGTGTGCAAAGCAGATCTGGTTCTAATTCAAAGGTGTATAATTACCTGTCTGTGGTGCTGCACTAGTTTGTGCCTGGCCTGTTACAGAAAAAGAGAGATGAACAAAGTCTATTAGAGTTCCAGAAGGGATTTCTTCATTTGCATGGTCTTTCCCACACTGAGAGTGATATTCAAACGCATGGTAAACAAAAATTAGATTTCTATTCTCTAAACCATTCGCCTTCAACATGCTAAGAAAGTCGACTGCAAAGATTCCAAGCAATGTCAATGTCTGACATTGAGACCAGGCCAATTAATTTAGCCCATGCCACCAACTGGGCAAAAGTTACAAAGTTCTTAAATAAGCTTAATGTATTCATAAGCTGCCTTCGAGGGCCGATTGCGTCACCGTTGCGAGACAAAGTCTCCTTCAAATGCAGCCTCCAAATGCGTCCTTCGTTTCTTGTGAAGTGAAGTATACAACAGATGGATCCTGGTGGAGTACTGGCACTGGTGGAGCTGGATGATGAGTTATGTGGTCAACCCCTTCCTCCAGTATTTGAATTCAGTTTGGAGAGAATGATTTGTGTGTTCACTTCCTGTGCTCGGGCCCTTCCTCCTCCACTGGTTCCGTCCGGCATCCAAGTCCCCTCCTTTCCATTTGGTCTGCCCAGACCCAAGTCTTCCTCTTCTTCTCCGTCTCCGCCGGTCCTTTCGGGTTCCAACTCATCTTCGTCACAGATGGTACTTAACCCCTTACTAGTCGGCCCCAATTTTGGCAAGTGAAGCATTCATGACATACCCAAAATAAAAAGGTTGCTGCTCTTAAGTCATTCTGAATAGACACATAACCAACATATATTTAGAAAGCCAACCCTTGAGAGTTTACATTTCAAGACTCAAAATTAATCAGACTGTTATTAATATTGAGATATATAAGCTCAAACATAAAAACAAAAACAACAAATATTAAGAACATATTTATTAAATGTATACAAATATTATGTGAATTTAGGATAGCAACTTGAAACCACAACTACAGTAAAGTGTAGCCACAATTGTGGTCATGCTTCATTTAAAATCTGAGGATGATATTTCTAAAATTATGCATTTTATTAAGCCTATTGTGAAACCATGTCAGGAGAGAGTTTAGAGAAGTTTTATAGGATGCTAATATAAGATTCTCATCAAATATTTTATTGCCCTGTAAACACCCATTTACAGTCTCTGACTAATGTCTGGCGAGGAGAACTGGCCCATTCATGTTCTTTTCATTTAATCGACCAACATTTCACACCTATGCCGGTATGAGACTTAATCTTCATTATTCTTTTATCCTTATTCTTTTGTTTGAATTCAGCCATTATAGCCTATATTGGCCATCTAAACCTCTCTGATCCCACCCTACATGATCAATCCATCTATTATATTAAGTCTTGTTAGAAAACAAACAATTCTTGGAACTTTAAATGCGAATTATTTTATTTTTTAAATGATTGTATGAAATGGAATAGCTTCTGCAAGCAGGTGCATTAGCACAAGTAGCCTCGAGCTACATGACACAATTTAATGTATTAATATTACACTTTTATTCAAAGTTCACTTTAAAACAACATCGAGTATTTGTATCATATGCCGGTCGCGGATTAAAATGGTTTCAAGTCATGAAAAGATTTTGAAATATGTTATATTTAGCATTTCAGATGAAGCTATGGGCTAGCCTTTCCTAGCATATGCATTCTGTAAACATTCTGTATTGATATGAAAACCCCAAATCGCACGAAAATCAAACACAAAACACATAATATTTCAATCGTGCATTTATTAGTTCCTTGTTTCGGGTGAAGAGATGTCAGTTTCGCTTTGTTATCACGGATGTCCAGTATGAGGAAGTGTACACATGACGCGTCATGCAGAAGAGGTCACGCTGGACCACGTGAGATGATTGACAGCTGTACAGCGAATGATATAGCTTTGAGGTCAAATGTGACGCGATTCAGGAAGAGAAGACACACATCTCGCTCCGTTCGCTGTCTGAGCTCTTTAGATCGCACATTTCAGTGGTAAATGAATAGAAATGTTATTCTTTATGAAGAAATATTTTACTAGCATGTGATAATTATTAATCATTTCTCCAAATATGCGCACAATTGGACTAATAGCCCTGGCGGATGCTGTATATTGTACGTATTTGAACACAAATAAACCGGAGAACACGAGAATTAATGTTTTATGAGTGATGATTTCTATTCAAAATAACGAACATTACAGATTAATTATTTTGCACTCCTGGCATAAATTAAGAAATTAATATCACTGCAAACCAGTTAAATCATAAACAGTGGTCAAACATCGAAGCTGTAGACTTCAACCTTTCTTATGATGCTGAGTTCGTCCAGATCAAGTAAGAGTGTGATATTTTGACAAGTAATGACTTTTGAACAACACTAATCCGGGATCACCAGTGATCCCTGCCTATCATCTTCAAGTCTCCTTCATCGCCGCCGGTCCTAACCAGCTCAAAGCTTTTGTTGCCACTAATGATACACCCACCTAGCCTCCCTCTCCCACCTCCTCTGCCCAAGCCAGTCAGTCCTTCGGCCCCACCTTTGCTGGCTCTCTTCAGTCCCTCAGCTCCACTATTTGCTCTACCCTGCTTAGACCAGCCTTGGGCTTCAGATTCGCCAGCTCAGCCCAGGGGTGTCGATTCCAGTGCTCCACCTGGGCCTGTCGAGCAGTCGACTCCACCTTGGATCCTCCCTCCCTCGGCTCCACCCGGGACCGTCCACGTTGGTCTGAAATCGCTCTGTCTGCACCACGGACTTCCAACCCTTCCACTGCTACCTACCCCTGACACTTCCCCCAAAGAGATTGCCTCCTCATTAGTCTTCAGGCATCAGGAGCCGCCTTCCGGAGGGGGAGTAATGTCATGTTTAGTCTGTTCTTGTTTCGTTTTTAAGGACTTTTAGCATGTTTCTCTTTTGTTTCCTGCCTCCTCATCATTAGTTGTCATGGCTATTCATTGTTTCATTAATTAGACCATGAATAAATGTGTTTGACTCACCTTGGCAGATGACTCCAGCATCTTCATGGTGCCCACAGTCATGTGATCCCCATGCACTTGATGAACAGTTTGCCAGTGTAGATTCATTCCCACGGCACTGGACATCATCCAACCATATTTGTCCAGAACCTTGTCCAAAATAAGCAACACTCTTTGCCTCTATAACACTCCCACAGCCCAGTTCTCTACACACCACTGCTGCGTCTAAAGAGTCCCACAGATCATCACACACTGTTCCCCATATTCCATTGTGGAGAACCTCCACTCTTCCAGAACAGAGATTAGTTCCATTCACCAACTTGACCGCTATTAATTACAAAACAATATAAAGAGAGAAAAACAGGTCATTAGGTTTTTCGTTTGTCAATTTGTGTTTGTTTGTTTGTTTGTTTGTATCTTTGATGAGATAACAAACTAAGTGGTAATAATAGTGGAGTTTGATCCTCCTCAGCATCATTACCTTTGACTCTTGGCAGTGAGGCAGTCGTGTTCAATCTCGCTGTTGACGCAGAAAAAAATTAACACACAAATACAACACAATGTTATGTTTAGATGAAGATGTTGACATGTCAGATTGCTTGCAGTGCTTCATGGTTTTCAGTTCAAACTAATTTTTTAGGCTGTTTTACAAGTTGTGTGAAAAGCAGATCTGGTTCTAATTCAAAGGTGTATAATTACCTGTCTGTGGTGCTGCACTAGTTTGTGCCTGGCCTGTTACAGAAAAAGAGAGATGAACAAAGTCTATTAGAGTTCCAGAAGGGATTTCTTCATTTGCATGGTCTTTCCCACACTGAGAGTGATATTCAAACGGATGGTAAACAAAATTAGATTTCTATTCTCTAAACCATTCGCCTTCAACATGCTAAGAAAGTCAACTGCAAAGATTCCAAGCATGAAGTGAGTGGAACAAAACTCAATGTCTGAGTTGGAGACCAGGCCAATTAATTTAGCCCATGCCACCACCTGGGCAAAAGTTACAAAGTTCTAAAATAAGCTTAATGTATTCATAAGCTGCCTTCGAGGGCCGATTGCGTCACCGTTGCGAGACAAAGTCTCCTTCAAATGCAGCCTCCAAATGCGTCCTTCGTTTCCTGTGAAGTGAAGTATACAACAGATGGATCCTGGTGGAGTACTGGCACTGGTGGAGCTGGATGATGAGTTATGTGGTCAACCCCTTCCTCCAGTATTTGAATTCAGTTTGGAGAGAATGATTTGTGTGTTCACTTCCTGTGCTCGGGCCCTTCCTCCTCCACTGGTTCCGTCTGGCATCCAAGTCCCCTCCTTTCCATTTGGTCTGCCCAGACCCAAGTCTTCCTCTTCTTCTCCGTCTCCGCCGGTCCTTTCGGGTTCCAACTCATCTTCGTCACAGATGGTACTTAATCATCTTCAAGTCTCCTTCATCGTCGCCGGTCCTAACCAGCTCAAAGCTTTTGTTGCCACTAATGATACGCCCACCTAGCCTCCCTCTCCCACCTCCTCTGCCCAAGCCAGTCAGTCCTTCGGCCCCACCTTTGCTGGCACTCTTCAGTCCCTCAGCTCCACTATTTGGTCTACCCTGCTTAGACCAGCCTTGGGCTTCAGATTCGCCAGCTCAGCCCAGGGGTGTCGATTCCAGTGCTCCACCTGGGCCTGTCGAGCAGTCGACTCCACCTTGGATCCTCCCTCCCTCGGCTCCATCCGGGACCGTCCACATTGGTCTGAAATCGCTCTGTCTGCACCACGGACTTCCAACCCTTCCGCTGCTACCTGCCCTGACATTTTTCCCCAAAGAGATTGCCTCCTCATTAGTCTTCAGGCATCAGGAGCCGCCTTCCGGAGGGGGAGTAATGTCATGTTTAGTCTGTTCTTGTTTCGTTTTTAAGGACTTTTAGCATGTTTCTCTTTTGTTTCCTGCCTCCTCATCATTAGTTGTCATGGCTATTCATTGTTTCATTAATTAGAGCATGAATAAATGCGTTTGACTCACCTTGGCAGATGACACCAGCATCTTCATTGTGCCCACAGTTATGTGATCCCCATGCATTTGATGAACAGTTTGCCAGTGTAGATTCATTCCCACGGCACTGGACATCATCCAACCATATTTGTCCAGAACCTTGTCCAAAATAAGCAACACTCTTTGCCTCTATAACACTCCCACAGCCCAGTTCTCTACACACCACTGCTGCGTCTAAAGAGTCCCACAGATCATCACACACTGTTCCCCATATTCCATTGTGGAGAACCTCCACTCTACCAGAACAGAGATTGGTTCCATTCACCAACTTGACAGCTATTAATTACAAAACAATATAAAGAGAGAAAAACAGGTCATTAGGTTCTTCGTTTGTCAATTTGTGTTTGTTTGTTTGTTTGTTTGTATCTTTGATGAGATAACAAACAAAGTGGTAATAATAGTGGAGTTTGATCCTCCTCAGCATCATTACCTTTGACTCCTGGCAGTGAGGCAGTCGTGTTCAATCTCGCTGTTGACGCAGAAAAAATGAACACACAAATACACAACAATGTTATGTTTAGATGAAGATGTTGACATGTCAGATTGCTTGCAGTGCTTCATGGTTTTCAGTTCAAACTAATTTTTTAGGCTGTTTTACAAGTTGTGTGAAAAGCAGATCTGGTTCTAATTCAAGGGTGTATAATTACCTGTCTGTGGTGCTGCACTAGTTTGTGCCTGGCCTGTTACAGAAAAAGAGAGATGAACAAAGTCTATTAGAGTTCCAGAAGGGATTTCTTCATTTGCATGGTCTTTCCCACACTGAGAGTGATATTCAAACGGATGGTAAACAAAATTAGATTTCTATTCTCTAAACCATTCGCCTTCAACATGCTAAGAAAGTCGACTGCAAAGATTCCAAGCATGAAGTGAGTGGAACAAAACTCAATGTCTGACATTGAGACCAGGCCAATTAATTTAGCCCATGCCACCAACTGGGCAAAAGTTACAAAGTTCTAAAATAAGCTTAATGTATTCATAAGCTGCCTTCGACGGCCGATTGCGTCACCGTTGCGAGACAAAGTCTCCTTCAAATGCAGCCTCCAAATGCGTCCTTCGTTTCCTGTGAAGTGAAGTATACAACAGATGGATCCTGGTGGAGTACTGGCACTGGTGGAGCTGGATGATGAGTTACGTGGTCAACCCCTTCCTCCAGTATTTGAATTCAGTTTGGAGAGAATGATTTGTGTGTTCACTTCCTGTGCTCGGGCCCTTCCTCCTCCACTGGTTCCGTCCGGCATCCAAGTCCCCTCCTTTCCATTTGGTCTGCCCAGACCCAAGTCTTCCTCTTCTTCTCCGTCTCCGCCGGTCCATTCGGGTTCCAACTCATCTTCGTCACAGATGGTACTTTCCATCTTCAAGTCTCCTTCATCGCCGCCAGTCCTAATCAGCTCAAAGCTTTTGTTGCCACTAATGATACGCCCACCTAGCATCCCTCTCCCACCTCCTCTGCCCAAGCCAGTCAGTCCTTCGGCCCCACCTTTGCTGGCTCTCTTCAGTCCCTCAGCTCCACTATTTGCTCTACCCTGCTTAGACCAGCCTTGGGCTTCAGATTCGCCAGCTCAGCCCAAGGGTGTCGATTCCAGTGCTCCACCTGGGCCTGTCGAGCAGTCGACTCCACCTTGGATCCTCCCTCCCTCGGCTCCACCCGGGACCGTCCACGTTGGTCTGAAATTGCTCTGTCTGCACCACGGACTTCCAACCCTTCCGCTGCTACCTGCCCTGACACTTCCCCCAAAGAGATTGCCTCCTCATTAGTCTTCAGGCATCAGGAGCCGCCTTCCGGAGGGGGAGTAATGTCATGTTTAGTCTGTTCTTGTTTCGTTTTTAAGGACTTTTAGCATGTTTCTCTTTTGTTTCCTGCCTCCTCATCATTAGTTGTCATGGCTATTCATTGTTTCATTAATTAGACCATGAATAAATGTGTTTGACTCACCTTGGCAGATGACTCCAGCATCTTCATGGTGCCCACAGTCATGTGATCCCCATGCATTTGATGAACAGTTTGCCAGTGTAGATTCATTCCCACGGCACTGGACATCATCCAACCATATTTGTCCAGAACCTTGTCCAAAAAAAGCAACACTCTTTGCCTCTATAACACTCCCACAGCCCAGTTCTCTACACACCACTGCTGCGTCTAAAGAGTCCCACAGATCATCACACACTGTTCCCCATATTCCATTGTGGAGAACCTCCACTCTTCCAGAACAGAGATTGGTTCCATTCACCAACTTGACCGCTATTAATAACAAAACAATATAAAGAGAGAAAAACAGGTCATTAGGTTTTCGTTTGTCAATTTGTGTTTGTTTGTTTGTTTGAATCTTTGATGAGATAACAAACAAAGTGGTAATAATAGTGGAGTTTCATCCTCCTCAGCATCATTACCTTTGACTCCTGGCAGTGAGCCAGTCGTGTTCAATCTCGCTGTTGAAGCAGAAAAAATGAACACACAAATACACAACAATGTTATGTTTAGATGAAGATGTTGACATGTCAGATTGCTTGCAGTGCTTCATGGTTTTCAGTTCAAACTAATTTTTTAGGCTGTTTTACAAGTTGTGTGAAAAGCAGATCTGGTTCTAATTCAAAGGTGTATAATTACCTGTCTGTGGTGCTGCACTAGTTTGTGCCTGGCCTGTTACAGAAAAAGAGAGATGGACAAAGTCTATTAGAGTTCCAGAAGGGATTTCTTCATTTGCATGGTCTTTCCCACACTGAGAGTGATATTCAAACGGATGGTAAACAAAATTAGATTTCTATTCTCTAAACCATTCGCCTTCAACATGCTAAGAAAGTCGACTGCAAAGATTCCAAGCAATGTCAATGTCTGACATTGAGACCAGGCCAATTAATTTAGCCCATGCCACCAACTGGGCAAAAGTTACAAAGTTCTAAAATAAGCTTAATGTACTCATAAGCTGCCTTCGAGGGCCGATTGCGTCACCGTTGCGAGACAAAGTCTCCTTCAAATGCAGCCTCCAAATGCGTCCTTCGTTTCTTGTAAAGTGAAGTATACAACAGATGGATCCTGGTGGAGTACTGGCACTGGTGGAGCTGGATGATGAGTTATGTGGTCAACCCCTTCCTCCAGTATTTGAATTCAGTTTGGAGAGAATGATTTGTGTGTTCACTTCCTGTGCTCGGGCCCTTCCTCCTCCACTGGTTCCGTCCGGCATCCAAGTCCCCTCCTTTCCATTTGGTCTGCCCAGACCCAAGTCTTCCTCTTCTTCTCCGTCTCCGCGGGTCCATTCGGGTTCCAACTCATCTTCGTCACAGATGGTACTTTCCATCTTCAAGTCTCCTTCATCGCCGCCGGTCCTAATCAGCTCAAAGCTTTTGTTGCCACTAATGATACGCCCACCTAGCCTCCCTCTCCCACCTCCTCTGCCCAAGCCAGTCAGTCCTTCGGCCCCACCTTTGCTGGCTCTCTTCAGTCCCTCAGCTCCACTATTTGCTCTACCCTGCTTAGACCAGCCTTGGGCTTCAGATTCGCCAGCTCAGCCCAGGGGTGTCGATTCCAGTGCTCCACCTCTGCCTGTCGAGCAGTCGACTCCACCTTGGATCCTCCCTCCCTCGGCTCCACCCGGGACCGTCCACGTTGGTCTGAAATCGCTCTGTCTGCACCACGGACTTCCAACCCTTCCGCTGCTACCTGCCCTGACACTTCCCCCAAAGAGATTGCCTCCTCATTAGTCTTCAGGCATCAGGAGCCGCCTTCCGGAGGGGGAGTAATGTCATGTTTAGTCTGTTCTTGTTTCGTATTTAAGGACTTTTAGCATGTTTCTCTTTTGTTTCCTGCCTCCTCATCATTAGTTGTCATGGCTATTCATTGTTTCATTAATTAGACCATGAATAAATGTGTTTGACTCACCTTGGCAGATGACTCCAGCATCTTCATGGTGCCCACAGTCATGTGATCCCCATGCATTTGATGAACAGTTTGCCAGTGTAGATTCATTCCCACGGCACTGGACATCATCCAACCATATTTGTCCAGAACCTTGTCCAAAAAAAGCAACACTCTTTGCCTCTATAACACTCCCACAGCCCAGTTCTCTACACACCACTGCTGCGTCTAAAGAGTCCCACAGATCATCACACACTGTTCCCCATATTCCATTGTGGAGAACCTCCACTCTTCCAGAACAGAGATTGGTTCCATTCACCAACTTGACCGCTATTAATAACAAAACAATATAAAGAGAGAAAAACAGGTCATTAGGTTTTTCGTTTGTCAATTTGTGTTTGTTTGTTTGTTTGGATCTTTGATGAGATAACAAACAAAGTGGTAATAATAGTGGAGTTTCATCCTCCTCAGCATCATTACCTTTGACTCCTGGCAGTGAGCCAGTCGTGTTCAATCTCGCTGTTGAAGCAGAAAAAATGAACACACAAATACACAACAATTTTATGTTTAGATGAAGATGTTGACATGTCAGATTGCTTGCAGTGCTTCATGGTTTTCAGTTCAAACTAATTTTTTAGGCTGTTTTACAAGTTGTGTGAAAAGCAGATCTGGTTCTAATTCAAAGGTGTATAATTACCTGTCTGTGGTGCTGCACTAGTTTGTGCCTGGCCTGTTACAGAAAAAGAGAGATGAACAAAGTCTATTAGAGTTCCAGAAGGGATTTCTTCATTTGCATGGTCTTTCCCACACTGAGAGTGATATTCAAACGGATGGTAAACAAAATTAGATTTCTATTCTCTAAACCATTCGCCTTTAACATGCTAAGAAAGTCAACTGCAAAGATTCCAAGCATGAAGTGAGTGGAACAAAACTCAATGTCTGACATTGAGACCAGGCCAATTAATTTAGCCCATGCCACCAACTGGGCAAAAGTTACAAAGTTCTAAAATAAGCTTAATGTACTCATAAGCTGCCTTCGAGGGCCGATTGCGTCACCGTTGCGAGACAAAGTCTCCTTCAAATGCAGCCTCCAAATGCGTCCTTCGTTTCTTGTGAAGTGAAGTATACAACAGATGGATCCTGGTGGAGTACTGGCACTTGTGGAGCTGGATGATGAGTTATGTGGTCAACCCCTTCCTCCAGTATTTGAATTCAGTTTGGAGAGAATGATTTGTGTGTTCACTTCCTGTGCTCGGGCCCTTCCTCCTCCACTGGTTCCGTCCGGCATCCAAGTCCCCTCCTTTCCATTTGGTCTGCCCAGACCCAAGTCTTCCTCTTCTTCTCCGTCTCCGCCGGTCCATTCGGGTTCCAACTCATCTTCGTCACAGATGGTACTTTCCATCTTCAAGTCTCCTTCATCGCCGCCGGTCCTAATCAGCTCAAAGCTTTTGTTGCCACTAATGATACGCCCACCTAGCCTCCCTCTCCCACCTCCTCTGCCCAAGCCAGTCAGTCCTTCGGCCCCACCTTTGCTGGCTCTCTTCAGTCCCTCAGCTCCACTATTTGCTCTACCCTGCTTAGACCAGCCTTGGGCTTCAGATTCGCCAGCTCAGCCCAGGGGTGTCGATTCCAGTGCTCCACCTCTGCCTGTCGAGCAGTCGACTCCACCTTGGATCCTCCCTCCCTCGGCTCCACCCGAGACCGTCCACGTTGGTCTGAAATCGCTCTGTCTGCACCACGGACTTCCAACCCTTCCGCTGCTACCTGCCCTGACACTTCCCCCAAAGAGATTGCCTCCTCATTAGTCTTCAGGCATCAGGAGCCGCCTTCCGGAGGGGGAGTAATGTCATGTTTAGTCTGTTCTTGTTTCGTTTTTAAGGACTTTTAGCATGTTTCTCTTTTGTTTCCTACCTCCTCATCATTAGTTGTCATGGCTATTCATTGTTTCATTAATTAGACCATGAATAAATGTGTTTGACTCACCTTGGCAGATGACTCCAGCATCTTCATGGTGCCCACAGTCATGTGATCCCCATGCATTTGATGAACAGTTTGCCAGTGTAGATTCATTCCCACGGCACTGGACATCATCCAACCATATTTGTCCAGAACCTTGTCCAAAAAAAGCAACACTCTTTGCCTCTATAACACTCCCACAGCCCAGTTCTCTACACACCACTGCTGCGTCTAAAGAGTCCCACAGATCATCACACACTGTTCCCCATATTCCATTGTGGAGAACCTCCACTCTTCCAGAACAGAGATTGGTTCCATTCACCAACTTGACCGCTATTAATAACAAAACAATATAAAGAGAGAAAAACAGGTCATTAGGTTTTTCGTTTGTCAATTTGTGTTTGTTTGTTTGTTTGTATCTTTGATGAGATAAACAAAGTGGTAATAATAGTGGAGTTTCATCCTCCTCAGCATCATTACCTTTGACTCCTGGCAGTGAGGCAGTCGTGTTCAATCTCGCTGTTGAAGCAGAAAAAATGAACACACAAATACACAACAATGTTATGTTTAGATGAAGATGTTGACATGTCAGATTGCTTGCAGTGCTTCATGGTTTTTAGTTCAAACTAATTTTTTAGGCTGTTTTACAAGTTGTGTGAAAAGCAGATCTGGTTCTAATTCAAAGGTGTATAATTACCTGTCTGTGGTGCTGCACTAGTTTGTGCCTGGCCTGTTACAGAAAAAGAGAGATGAACAAAGTCTATTAGAGTTCCAGAAGGGATTTCTTCATTTGCATGGTCTTTCCCACACTGAGAGTGATATTCAAACGGATGGTAAACAAAATTAGATTTCTATTCTCTAAACCATTCGCCTTCAACATGCTAAGAAAGTCGACTGCAAAGATTCCAAGCAATGTCAATGTCTGACATTGAGACCAGGCCAATTAATTTAGCCCATGCCACCAACTGGGCAAAAGTTACAAAGTTCTAAAATAAGCTTAATGTATTCATAAGCTGCCTTCGAGGGCCGATTGCGTCACCGTTGCGAGACAAAGTCTCCTTCAAATGCAGCCTCCAAATGCGTCCTTCGTTTCTTGTGAAGTGAAGTATACAACAGATGCATCCTGGTGGAGTATTGGCACTGGTGGAGCTGGATGATGAGTTATGTGGTCAACCCCTTCCTCCAGTATTTGAATTCAGTTTGGAGAGAATGATTTGTGTGTTCACTTCCTGTGCTCGGGCCCTTCCTCCTCCACTGGTTCCGTCCGGCATCCAAGTCCCCTCCTTTCCATTTGGTCTGCCCCGACCCAAGTCTACCTCTTCTTCTCCGTCTCCGCCGGTCCATTCGGGTTCCAACTCATCTTCGTCACAGATGGTACTTTCCATCTTCAAGTCTCCTTCATCGTCGCCGGTCCTAATCAGCTCAAAGCTTTTGTTGCCACTAATGATACGCCCACCTAGCCTCCCTCTCCCACCTCCTCTGCCCAAGCCAGTCAGTCCTTCGGCCCCACCTTTGCTGGCTCTCTTCAGTCCCTCAGCTCCACTATTTGCTCTACCCTGCTTAGACCAGCCTTGGGCTTCAGATTCGCCAGCTCAGCCCAGGGGTGTCGATTCCAGTGCTCCACCTCGGCCTGTCGAGCAGTCGACTCCACCTTGGATCCTCCCTCCCTCGGCTCCACCCGGGACCGTCCACGTTGGTCTGAAATCGCTCTGTCTGCACCACGGACTTCCAACCCTTCCGCTGCTACCTGCCCTGACACTTCCCCCAAAGAGATTGCCTCCTCATTAGTCTTCAGGCATCAGGAGCCGCCTTCCGGAGGGGGAGTAATGTCATATTTAGTCTGTTCTTGTTTCATTTTTAAGGACTTTAGCATGTTTATCTTTTGTTTCCTGCCTCCTCATCATTAGTTGTCATGGCTATTCATTGTTTCATTAATTAGAGCATGAATAAATGTGTTTGACTCACCTTGGCAGATGACCCCAGCATCTTCATTGTGCCCACAGTTATGTGATCCCCATGCATTTGATGAACAGTTTGCCAGTGTAGATTCATTCCCACGGCACTGGACATCATCCAACCATATTTGTCCAGAACCTTGTCCAAAATAAGCAACACTCTTTGCCTCTATAACACTCCCACAGCCCAGTTCTCTACACACCACTGCTGCGTCTAAAGAGTCCCACAGATCATCACACACTGTTCCCCATATTCCATTGTGGAGAACCTCCACTCTTCCAGAACAGAGATTGGTTCCATTCACCAACTTGACCGCTATTAATTACAAAACAATATAAAGAGAGAAAAACAGGTCATTAGGTTTTTCGTTTGTCAATTTGTGTTTGATTGTTTGTTTGTTTGTATCTTTGATGAGATAAACAAAGTGGTAATAATAGTGGAGTTTGATCCTCCTCAGCATCATTACCTTTGACTCCTGGCAGTGAGGCAGTCGTGTTCAATCTCGCTGTTGAAGCAGAAAAAAATGAACACACAAATACACAACAATGTTATGTTTAGATGAAGATGTTGACATGTCAGATTGCTTGCAGTGCTTCATGGTTTTCAGTTCAAACTAATTTTTTAGGCTGTTTTACAAGTTGTGTGCAAAGCAGATCTGGTTCTAATTCAAAGGTGTATAATTACCTGTCTGTGGTGCTGCACTAGTTTGTGCCTGGCCTGTTACAGAAAAAGAGAGATGAACAAAGTCTATTAGAGTTCCAGAAGGGATTTCTTCATTTGCATGGTCTTTCCCACACTGAGAGTGATTTTCAAACGGATGGTAAACAAAAATTAGATTTCTATTCTCTAAACCATTCGCCTTCAACATGCTAAGAAAGTCAACTGCAAAGATTCCAAGCATGAAGTGAGTGGAACAAAACTCAATGTCTGACATTGAGACCAGGCCAATTAATTTAGCCCATGCCACCAACTGGGCAAAAGTTACAAAGTTCTAAAATAAGCTTAATGTACTCATAAGCTGCCTTCGAGGGCCGATTGCGTCACCGTTGCGAGACAAAGTCTCCTTCAAATGCAGCCTCCAAATGCGTCCTTCGTTTCTTGTGAAGTGAAGTATACAACAGATGGATCCTGGTGGAGTACTGGCACTTGTGGAGCTGGATGATGAGTTATGTGGTCAACCCCTTCCTCCAGTATTTGAATTCAGTTTGGAGAGAATGATTTGTGTGTTCACTTCCTGTGCTCGGGCCCTTCCTCCTCCACTGGTTCCGTCCGGCATCCAAGTCCCCTCCTTTCCATTTGGTCTGCCCAGACCCAAGTCTTCCTCTTCTTCTCCGTCTCCGCCGGTCCATTCGGGTTCCAACTCATCTTCGTCACAGATGGTACTTTCCATCTTCAAGTCTCCTTCATCGCCGCCGGTCCTAATCAGCTCAAAGCTTTTGTTGCCACTAATGATACGCCCACCTAGCCTCCCTCTCCCACCTCCTCTGCCCAAGCCAGTCAGTCCTTCGGCCCCACCTTTGCTGGCTCTCTTCAGTCCCTCAGCTCCACTATTTGCTCTACCCTGCTTAGACCAGCCTTGGGCTTCAGATTCGCCAGCTCAGCCCAGGGGTGTCGATTCCAGTGCTCCACCTCTGCCTGTCGAGCAGTCGACTCCACCTTGGATCCTCCCTCCCTCGGCTCCACCCGAGACCGTCCACGTTGGTCTGAAATCGCTCTGTCTGCACCACGGACTTCCAACCCTTCCGCTGCTACCTGCCCTGACACTTCCCCCAAAGAGATTGCCTCCTCATTAGTCTTCAGGCATCAGGAGCCGCCTTCCGGAGGGGGAGTAATGTCATGTTTAGTCTGTTCTTGTTTCGTTTTTAAGGACTTTTAGCATGTTTCTCTTTTGTTTCCTGCCTCCTCATCATTAGTTGTCATGGCTATTCATTGTTTCATTAATTAGACCATGAATAAATGTGTTTGACTCACCTTGGCAGATGACTCCAGCATCTTCATGGTGCCCACAGTCATGTGATCCCCATGCATTTGATGAACAGTTTGCCAGTGTAGATTCATTCCCACGGCACTGGACATCATCCAACCATATTTGTCCAGAACCTTGTCCAAAAAAAGCAACACTCTTTGCCTCTATAACACTCCCACAGCCCAGTTCTCTACACACCACTGCTGCGTCTAAAGAGTCCCACAGATCATCACACACTGTTCCCCATATTCCATTGTGGAGAACCTCCACTCTTCCAGAACAGAGATTGGTTCCATTCACCAACTTGACCGCTATTAATAACAAAACAATATAAAGAGAGAAAAACAGGTCATTAGGTTTTTCGTTTGTCAATTTGTGTTTGTTTGTTTGTTTGGATCTTTGATGAGATAACAAACAAAGTGGTAATAATAGTGGAGTTTCATCCTCCTCAGCATCATTACCTTTGACTCCTGGCAGTGAGCCAGTCGTGTTCAATCTCGCTGTTGAAGCAGAAAAAATGAACACACAAATACACAACAATTTTATGTTTAGATGAAGATGTTGACATGTCAGATTGCTTGCAGTGCTTCATGGTTTTCAGTTCAAACTAATTTTTTAGGCTGTTTTACAAGTTGTGTGAAAAGCAGATCTGGTTCTAATTCAAAGGTGTATAATTACCTGTCTGTGGTGCTGCACTAGTTTGTGCCTGGCCTGTTACAGAAAAAGAGAGATGAACAAAGTCTATTAGAGTTCCAGAAGGGATTTCTTCATTTGCATTAGGGGTGGAACGGTACATGTATTTGTATTGAACCGAAACGGTACGGGCGTCACGGTTCGGTGCACGAATTTGCACGGAGAATACACGTACAAATAAAAAAAAAACCTCTTAAATAGCGATAAATTTCGCTCTATTCGCTTTTGGTGTGACTGTGAACGCAGCAATGAACAGGCTGCGATCAAGATTGCAATGCTGGAGTGTGTGTGTGTGTGAGAGAGAGAGAGAGACAGAGAGAGGCGCGGGTGCGAATCGCGCGATCGAACAGTGTGTGTGTGTGTGTGTGCGAGAGAGAGAGAGAGAGAGAGAGAGAGAGAGAGAGAGAGAGGCGCGGGCGCAAATCGCGCTATCGAACAGAGTGTGTGTGTGTGTGTGTGTGTGTGTGTGTGCGTGCGCGTGCGAGAGAGAGAGAGAGGCGCGGGCGCGAATCGCGCGATCGAATAGTGTGTGTGTGTGACAGAGGCACGGGCGATCGAACAGTGGTAACATAAAAACATACTCCGTCATTTTTTTCATACAGGACATCATTAAAACGGCAAATTGTTTACTTATATTTGTGTGCACTTGCAATAAAACACAACATTGTGCTTTTGTCACACTCTAAACTCATGTCAAACTGTAACCTACAACTGTTAACAAAAGTTTTTAATGGTAGTATTATTTTATACGGAAATCAATTATTTATCATTCAGATGAGAATAAAGTTAGGGTTAATTAAAATGAAGGAAAACAAATATATTGATCTGAAATAGCAAATTAATTTTAAATTCATTCAGGTACAATTACCAAACATATCTCATGGTCTTTTCGTCTTTTTAATAATTTAATTAATAAACTAATTATATAAAACTACTGTCGGTGCACTACAAATAAACTGGTTCTATGCCTTTATTAATAAAACGTATATAAAAAATACAAGGCTTAAGACATTTATAAAAAAGCCTTCTGCATTTTTGTTTTGCTATTCACTCCATTGTACCGAAATCGTACCGAACCGTGATGTCTGAACCGAGGTATGAACCGAACCGTGACTTCTGTGTACCGTTCCACCCCTAATTTGCATGGTCTTTCCCACACTGAGAGTGATATTCAAACGGATGGTAAACAAAATTAGATTTCTATTCTCTAAACCATTCGCCTTCAACATGCTAAGAAAGTCGACTGCAAAGATTCCAAGCAATGTCAATGTCTGACATTGAGACCAGGCCAATTAATTTAGCCCATGCCACCAACTGGGCAAAAGTTACAAAGTTCTAAAATAAGCTTAATGTACTCATAAGCTGCCTTCGAGGGCCGATTGCGTCACCGTTGCGAGACAAAGTCTCCTTCAAATGCAGCCTCCAAATGCGTCCTTCGTTTCTTGTGAAGTGAAGTATACAACAGATGCATCCTGGTGGAGTATTGGCACTGGTGGAGCTGGATGATGAGTTATGTGGTCAACCCCTTCCTCCAGTATTTGAATTCAGTTTGGAGAGAATGATTTGTGTGTTCACTTCCTGTGCTCGGGCCCTTCCTCCTCCACTGGTTCCGTCCGGCATCCAAGTCCCCTCCTTTCCATTTGGTCTGCCCAGACCCAAGTCTACCTCTTCTTCTCCGTCTCCGCCGGTCCATTCGGGTTCCAACTCATCTTCGTCACAGATGGTACTTTCCATCTTCAAGTCTCCTTCATCGTCGCCGGTCCTAATCAGCTCAAAGCTTTTGTTGCCACTAATGATATGCCCACCTAGCCTCCCTCTCCCACCTCCTCTGCCCAAGCCAGTCAGTCCTTCGGCCCCACCTTTGCTGGCTCTCTTCAGTCCCTCAGCTCCACTATTTGCTCTACCCTGCTTAGACCAGCCTTGGGCTTCAGATTCGCCAGCTCAGCCCAGGGGTGTCGATTCCAGTGCTCCACCTCTGCCTGTCGAGCAGTCGACTCCACCTTGGATCCTCCCTCCCTCGGCTCCACCCGGGACCGTCCACCTTGGTCTGAAATCGCTCTGTCTGCACCACGGACTTCCAACCCTTCCGCTGCTACCTGCCCTGACACTTCCCCCAAAGAGATTGCCTCCTCATTAGTCTTCAGGCATCAGGAGTCGCCTTCCGGAGGGGGAGTAATGTCATGTTTAGTCTGTTCTTGTTTCGTTTTTAACGACTTTTAGCATGTTTCTCTTTTGTTTCCTACCTCCTCATCATTAGTTGTCATGGCTATTCATTGTTTCATTAATTAGACCATGAATAAATGTGTTTGACTCACCTTGGCAGATGACTCCAGCATCTTCATGGTGCCCACAGTCATGTGATCCCCATGCATTTGATGAACAGTTTGCCAGTGTAGATTCATTCCCACGGCACTGGACATCATCCAACCATATTTGTCCAGAACCTTGTCCAAAAAAAGCAACACTCTTTGCCTCTATAACACTCCCACAGCCCAGTTCTCTACACACCACTGCTGCGTCTAAAGAGTCCCACAGATCATCACACACTGTTCCCCATATTCCATTGTGGAGAACCTCCACTCTTCCAGAACAGAGATTGGTTCCATTCACCAACTTGACCGCTATTAATAACAAAACAATATAAAGAGAGAAAAACAGGTCATTAGGTTTTTCGTTTGTCAATTTGTGTTTGTTTGTTTGTTTGTATCTTTGATGAGATAAACAAAGTGGTAATAATAGTGGAGTTTCATCCTCCTCAGCATCATTACCTTTGACTCCTGGCAGTGAGGCAGTCGTGTTCAATCTCGCTGTTGAAGCAGAAAAAATGAACACACAAATACACAACAATGTTATGTTTAGATGAAGATGTTGACATGTCAGATTGCTTGCAGTGCTTCATGGTTTTTAGTTCAAACTAATTTTTTAGGCTGTTTTACAAGTTGTGTGAAAAGCAGATCTGGTTCTAATTCAAAGGTGTATAATTACCTGTCTGTGGTGCTGCACTAGTTTGTGCCTGGCCTGTTACAGAAAAAGAGAGATGAACAAAGTCTATTAGAGTTCCAGAAGGGATTTCTTCATTTGCATGGTCTTTCCCACACTGAGAGTGATATTCAAACGGATGGTAAACAAAATTAGATTTCTATTCTCTAAACCATTCGCCTTCAACATGCTAAGAAAGTCGACTGCAAAGATTCCAAGCAATGTCAATGTCTGACATTGAGACCAGGCCAATTAATTTAGCCCATGCCACCAACTGGGCAAAAGTTACAAAGTTCTAAAATAAGCTTAATGTATTCATAAGCTGCCTTCGAGGGCCGATTGCGTCACCGTTGCGAGACAAAGTCTCCTTCAAATGCAGCCTCCAAATGCGTCCTTCGTTTCTTGTGAAGTGAAGTATACAACAGATGCATCCTGGTGGAGTATTGGCACTGGTGGAGCTGGATGATGAGTTATGTGGTCAACCCCTTCCTCCAGTATTTGAATTCAGTTTGGAGAGAATGATTTGTGTGTTCACTTCCTGTGCTCGGGCCCTTCCTCCTCCACTGGTTCCGTCCGGCATCCAAGTCCCCTCCTTTCCATTTGGTCTGCCCCGACCCAAGTCTACCTCTTCTTCTCCGTCTCCGCCGGTCCATTCGGGTTCCAACTCATCTTCGTCACAGATGGTACTTTCCATCTTCAAGTCTCCTTCATCGTCGCCGGTCCTAATCAGCTCAAAGCTTTTGTTGCCACTAATGATACGCCCACCTAGCCTCCCTCTCCCACCTCCTCTGCCCAAGCCAGTCAGTCCTTCGGCCCCACCTTTGCTGGCTCTCTTCAGTCCCTCAGCTCCACTATTTGCTCTACCCTGCTTAGACCAGCCTTGGGCTTCAGATTCGCCAGCTCAGCCCAGGGGTGTCGATTCCAGTGCTCCACCTCGGCCTGTCGAGCAGTCGACTCCACCTTGGATCCTCCCTCCCTCGGCTCCACCCGGGACCGTCCACGTTGGTCTGAAATCGCTCTGTCTGCACCACGGACTTCCAACCCTTCCGCTGCTACCTGCCCTGACACTTCCCCCAAAGAGATTGCCTCCTCATTAGTCTTCAGGCATCAGGAGCCGCCTTCCGGAGGGGGAGTAATGTCATATTTAGTCTGTTCTTGTTTCATTTTTAAGGACTTTAGCATGTTTATCTTTTGTTTCCTGCCTCCTCATCATTAGTTGTCATGGCTATTCATTGTTTCATTAATTAGAGCATGAATAAATGTGTTTGACTCACCTTGGCAGATGACCCCAGCATCTTCATTGTGCCCACAGTTATGTGATCCCCATGCATTTGATGAACAGTTTGCCAGTGTAGATTCATTCCCACGGCACTGGACATCATCCAACCATATTTGTCCAGAACCTTGTCCAAAATAAGCAACACTCTTTGCCTCTATAACACTCCCACAGCCCAGTTCTCTACACACCACTGCTGCGTCTAAAGAGTCCCACAGATCATCACACACTGTTCCCCATATTCCATTGTGGAGAACCTCCACTCTTCCAGAACAGAGATTGGTTCCATTCACCAACTTGACCGCTATTAATTACAAAACAATATAAAGAGAGAAAAACAGGTCATTAGGTTTTTCGTTTGTCAATTTGTGTTTGTTAATTTGTATCTTTGATGAGATAACAAAAAAAATGGTAATAATAGTGTAGTTTCATCCTCCTCAGCATCATTACCTTTGACTCCTGGCAGTGAGGCAGTCGTGTTCAATCTCGCTGTTGAAGCAGAAAAAATGAACACACAAATACACAACAATGTTATGTTTAGATGAAGATGTTGACATGTCAGATTGCTTGCAGTGCTTCATGGTTTTCAGTTCAAACTAATTTTTTAGGCTGTTTTACAAGTTGTGTGAAAAGCAGATCTGGTTCTAATTCAAAGGTGTATAATTACCTGTCTGTGGTGCTGCACTAGTTTGTGCCTGGCCTGTTACAGAAAAAGAGAGATGAACAAAGTCTATTAGAGTTCCAGAAGGGATTTCTTCATTTGCATGGTCTTTCCCACACTGAGAGTGATTTTCAAACGGATGGTAAACAAAAATTAGATTTCTATTCTCTAAACCATTCGCCTTCAACATGCTAAGAAAGTCAACTGCAAAGATTCCAAGCATGAAGTGAGTGGAACAAAACTCAATGTCTGACATTGAGACCAGGCCGATTAATTTAGCCCATGCCACCAACTGGGCAAAAGTTACAAAGGTCTAAAATAAGCTTAATGCACTCATAAGCTGCCTTCGAGGGCCGATTGCGTCACCGTTGCGAGACAAAGGCTCCTTCAAATGCAGCCTCCAAATGCGTCCTTCGTTTCCTGTGAAGTGAAGTATACAACAGATGGATCCTGGTGGAGTACTGGCACTGGTGGAGCTGCATGATGAGTTATGTGGTCAACCCCTTCCTCCAGTATTTGAATTCAGTTTGGAGAGAATGATTTTTGTGTTCACTTCCTGTGCTCGGGCCCTTCCTCCTCCACTGGTTCCGTCCAGCATCCAAGTCCCCTCCTTTCCATTTAGTCTGCCCAGACCCAAGTCTACCTCTTCTTCTCCGTCTCCGCCGGTCCATTCGGGTTCCAACTCATCTTCGTCACAGATGGTACTTTCCATCTTCAAGTCTCCTTCATTGCCGCCGGTCCTAACCAGCTCAAAGCTTTTGTTGCCACTTATGATACGCCCACCTAGCCTCCCTCTCCCACCTCCTCTGCCCAAGCCAGTCAGTCCTTCGGCCCCACCTTTGCTGGCTCTCTTCAGTCCCTCAGCTCCACTATTTGCTCTACCCTGCTTAGACCAGCCTTGGGCTTCAGATTCGCCAGCTCAGCCCAGGGGTGTCGATTCCAGTGCTCCACCTCGGCCTGTCGAGCAGTCGACTCCACCTTGGATCCTCCCTCCCTCGGCTCCACCCGGGACCGTCCACGTTGGTCTGAAATCGCTCTGTCTGCACCACGGACTTCCAACCCTTCCGCTGCTACCTGCCCTGACACTTCCCCCAAAGAGATTGCCTCCTCATTAGTCTTCAGGCATCAGGAGCCGCCTTCCGGAGGGGTAGTAATGTCATATTTAGTCTGTTCTTGTTTCATTTTTAAGGACTTTAGCATGTTTCTCTTTTGTTTCCTGCCTCCTCATCATTAGTTGTCATGGCTATTCATTGTTTCATTAATTAGAGCATGAATAAATGTGTTTGACTCACCTTGGCAGATGACCCCAGCATCTTCATTGTGCCCACAGTTATGTGATCCCCATGCATTTGATGAACAGTTTGCCAGTGTAGATTCATTCCCACGGCACTGGACATCATCCAACCATATTTGTCCAGAACCTTGTCCAAAATAAGCAACACTCTTTGCCTCTATAACACTCCCACAGCCCAGTTCTCTACACACCACTGCTGCGTCTAAAGAGTCCCACAGATCATCACACACTGTTCCCCATATTCCATTGTGGAGAACCTCCACTCTTCCAGAACAGAGATTGGTTCCATTCACCAACTTGACCGCTATTAATTACAACACAATATAAAGAGAGAAAAACAGGTCATTAGGTTTTTCGTTTGTCAATTTGTGTTTGTTTGTTTGTTTGTTTGTATCTTTGATGAGATAACAAAAAAAATGGTAATAATAGTGTAGTTTCATCCTCCTCAGCATCATTACCTTTGACTCCTGGCAGTGAGGCAGTCGTGTTCAATCTCGCTGTTGAAGCAGAAAAAATGAACACACAAATACACAACAATGTTATGTTTAGATGAAGATGTTGACATGTCAGATTGCTTGCAGTGCTTCATGGTTTTCAGTTCAAACTAATTTTTTAGGCTTTTTTACAAGTTGTGTGAAAAGCAGATCTGGTTCTAATTCAAAGGTGTATAATTACCTGTCTGGGGTGCTGCACTAGTTTGTGCCTGGCCTGTTACAGAAAAAGAGAGATGAACAAAGTCTATTAGAGTTCCAGAAGGGATTTCTTCATTTGCATGGTCTTTCCCACACTGAGAGTGATTTTCAAACGGATGGTAAACAAAATTTAGATTTCTATTCTCTAAACCATTCACCTTCAACATGCTAAGAAAGTCGACTGCAAAGATTCCAAGCATGAAGTGAGTGGAACAAAACTCAATGTCTGACATTGAGACCAGGCCAATTAATTTAGCCCATGCCACCAACTGGGCAAAAGTTCTAAATGAAGCTTAACCCTCTGTAGAGACTTTAAGGATGAACCAAACACGAATTAATCTTTCTAATCTCTCATGGGATTCATTCAAATGTGATTCAGCATTTCGGATCTGAATACCACATTCCAAAGTCACAAGACTGGCTCCAAATTGTCTAGAAAACCCCCCAGAGAAGTCTTTTATGGCCCCGCAGGCATCAGAGATAAGCCTAAACAGGAAGAACGTTGTCACTGTTTCATCCTTAAGCAAGACAAAGCTGCTCAGAAATGGTGAGACGAGGCCTGACCACCAAGGGGCCTGACCACCTTTGACCTCCCTCAGCATCACCACTGCTGAGCAGGACAGCGATGTAAGACAGACCACGCTTCCATGGAACGTGAGAGACTTACACAGACTTTACATATCAAACCCATTAAAACTCATGCAGAACAATGCTCCGTGGACTTAATCAAACATCATAATTCTTGTTGTTCCTACAATTCATGTTTGTATTATGCGTAGATCACATATAAATCATGTAATTGTGATATAACTGTGTGTATGGATGAAAGGGTATCGTGCTTCCAATCAAAAGAATCGTATGCACTTAATTCAAAAGGTGGCTTGTTTGAAATCTGTGTAAAATGTTTTGTATGATTATAATAATCTATAATGTTTAAACTGGGGTCTCTTGTTCTCTGCTAAGTGCTGGAACCCAAGCAGATCCCAGATAACGATAAGTAGGAACGATCCACCTCCTAAAATGATGCCATTGTCTCATTGGTCAGAATTCTCTAAAAGAGGTTGGACTAACGTTTAAGTTAAAGACCCGAACAAAGGAGTTAGAGTTGGAGAAAAAGAAATTCGGTTCAGAGAGCAGTTCGGGGTTGCCGTTCGGTTTTGAGTTCGGTTCGGTGTTGAATTAAGTTCTGCGCCTCTCTCTAGCAACAGAAAGAGAGTGTTCCTGTTCGTGCTTCTCTCTGAAAACACCAAAGAGCGTGTTCGCACGCTTCTACATCGACCAGACCAAATTAGACCAGCAGACAAATAACCCATCAAGATCGGGGTTGAAACAGCTCATTCAAGCCATCTAACTCGTCTTACTTTCATTTCTTCCTTTATTTTCTTTTTTCATAAAAGTCTCGGTTCAACGTTAAGTTGCTGCGAAGTTCGTTTAAACGTCTCTCCTGCAACGCGCTTCGAACTGTAAAGACTCTTATTCGCCTGCCAATCACACGTGACCGGCTGTTCAGAAACTTCCATCCAGGCACTTCAAAGACAACCAGCCACACGGACCCGGTCGGGAAACCCCTTTGACGAAGCACCGCAAAAAGGGAACTCCCTAAGCAACGCAAAGACAAGCAAGTAGCAGCTACTCCAGACTCTTAACTGAACTGGTGCAAATGTAAATTGAATAACCTGTCTAAGAAACGAAGGTTTAAATTAATGCTTGGTGGTTCGTTCAGGTCATGTCTTACAAAGTGCATCTCACTCTGAAAACTCACTCTCTCTCTCTCTCTCTCTCTCTTCCTCTGCGCCTTGTATGAATGCGTGTGTGTGATTGTGTTTAGACCTTAGTTTTATGTGTTTAGAATAGTTAATAAAGTCGTCAATATATTTGAAAAGATATTTGCCTTGTGTTGTGCTTGCACATTTAATGTCTTGTACTGTCGATCTAAAGTTACCTTGCTAATACATAGTGTTTCACTATAGATTGGATATTCATATCTGTTGCCAAGGTTATAATTACGGCCCGTTCAAATGAACTCTAAACGAGTCATTTGCTCGGTTCCATAGTGATTCGGTCAAGATTCATTGCAAATCGATGAATCATTCCTTTTGAGCTAAATTGGCCTTCCGGCCCCCCTTAAATACATTTTATGTATAGTATTATTGTGTGATTCGTTACACCTCTGGGGTCTGAGGTGTTTTCTCGGCCCTGGAGGTCTTCTGACATGCTCTGACATTTGTGCTTATTTCTGTTACTTGTTACATTTTCATGGCTAAGGTCTTATTACACTGTATTTAACACACACTCTGCTACAATAATATGTCAGCCGCATGTATGTAAAAGTTTGTAGTTTCAAGATAATGACATTTATGCGTGGTTTGGGAAAAAAGTAAAATTGTCACTGAAATAAGGTCATGAAACCCATACTGATTATTTCTTCACAAGACTTTAGAAAATTGTATCACGTAGCCTAGAATATTTGCTCCAAAACTGTGACAATAATCCTGCCTACTCATTCAGATTAAACAACATATTGATTTAAAATTTGTTAGACATGTTTGTATAAGAAAGCTTTATGCGAGGAGGCGTTAATCATCTCAATATTTGATGTGTTTCACACCTGAGAAAGACAAAGAACCTCCCCTAATGGCCCTATCAGGTGCTATCATGCCCTATCATTATGAGGAGACTTGCACAAAGAATGAGGAGAGGCTTAAAAATAATGGCTTTTTGATTGTTTGGATTTATTTACAACACAACATAATCCAAAGATACACAACAAATGACAAAAAAAGCACATTATTTGAACACACTTAACACACTTACAGAGACTTGAACAGTCACACACCTTTGTGCCATTCCTGAAACATAGTACATACCTGTCATTTCCAAGGTGTTTGATTTTTCACTTTACCATGTTTATGTACAGAGTCTCATGTGAATGTTGAAGTCAGCAGGAGTCATCAGTGGGGCATCTGGTCACTGTAAAAAAAAAAAAAAAAAAAAAAACTGTGAACATGCTGATATCAAGAAAAACTATTGGGCTGCACGATTTTGGGAATACATTTTAGATTTTTCTGGTTAAATTCATATAGAGGCAGGCAGATTTTTATTTTTAAAGGCCAGTTATTTCATGGATCCAGGATACTGTGCATCCTGATAAAGTTCCCTTGGCCTTTGGAATTAAAATATCCCACATCATCACATACCCTTCACCGTACCTAGAGATTGGCATGGCTTTATTTCAGTCAGCCTAATAGCTGGTTTGATTTGCATTGAGAGATGATCTTATGGAAAGTACCCCATGCCAATCTCTAGGTATGGTGAAGGGTATGTGATGATGTGGAGCTATTTTAATTCCAAATAATAATAACAATAGCCTATGGCATGCGGCCTATAAATTGTTAAAAATGACAGACTGATCTCATGAAATGGCGTATGTATGACACGCCAATTCGTATTTCCATTTTTGGCGTGCTATCAACACGCATAATCGCTTTTCAGCGTGTTTATCAACGCCTTTGACTTAACGTTATATTACTGTATTATGTATATATAAATATATGACCTACCCCAACCCCGTCCCTAAACCTACCCGTCACTGGGGTTAATACCATTTATGAGTCTTCTCCCACCATCCTAGGAAAAGAAATATCGCTCCACAGATGTAGATATAGATTTTGCTTCGTTTCGCTCGGACATTTAAAGGCGTACACATACACGCGGAATCACTCGGACATTTAATGGCGTAGACATACACGCAAAAGATTTCGGCGTGGACATACACGCGGATAGCTCAAAATGCGTATAGATAACACGCCACTTGAATTGAAAGTGGCGTGTATGTTTACGCAAAGTCATGATGTCATGTTGAAAATGAACACTTCAGTACACTACACTAGAGAAAAATATATGGATATGTTACTTCAAATGTTTCCATTTGTTACAAACACAGTATTTTAACAGTAAACACGGTTCTAAACATTATAATATTAATCATATTAGAGTAAACACTGATACTAGCCTACTTTTATATCATGTTGTGTTTTATTATCGAACATAAAAACATCCTTGTGTCGTAGGCTACATGTATATAAATTTCGCATTGAAAGGTAGCCTGCCTGTCTATAGTTCATATTTCAACATGTTTCGTCAATTTCATACATTAGTCTAGCAACAGTTCAACTGCAATGTGAAGTTTATGCAACAATAACACTGACTAATATAATTCATAATACATTTCTTACCTTAAATCTTTCTTGTCTTCAAATCGCGTTCTTCTTCTTCTGAGGTAAATCCAATGTAAGCTCACAGCGTGTCTTCCAACCTTGGCAAAAAGCAGAGGACTGATGAAGTTTGGTGCTTTGTTTTTGAGGTAATGAGCACGTTCGCGTTCCTTCACGTGGACATTTGCATATCAATCTCTTTTGCGCGCGTGGGCGTGGTCACATTAAAAATAATGAGCAAGCGTTCGAGAAACTGGACATCTTGTTGGTTTTATACAAATTACTTTAACACTTAAATGATTATAAAGATAAATAGCTCATGCCTGGGTGACTAGTATTCACTGAGTTTTGTTTCAGTTTATAGACGTGCTCAAAACAAAAAAGTTCACGAGACGGAGAGGCAGAAAGCACACCCTGTATATTGTCTTTATTTTACAAAAGCACAATGTTTTGTTTTGATTGTAAGTGGTCACATACAAAAGAATATTTATTTTTTCTGTATGACCATAAATGACGGAGTAATTTAAGTCTATTGTACTACTATGTCAGAAAATCCAGAAAAACGCGCCGGCGCGTTTGCCGGCCCCAGAGGGTTAAATGTTATTTCTACGTATTCCTTGTCTCCGTGAGCTTTGTCCTACACGTTACGTGACAGAATAACGGACCCTCAACTGTCCAACTGCTCTGCTTGGAACAGGAGAAGCTTTCCCTCGAGTCTCACACCTGCGCATTCCTCGACCTGGCGTGCCTTACCTCCTTCCCTGACAGATCGCTGAGCATCTTTTTCCTTACAAGCCTCAACGCGGCGGAGACGAAGGCACGCCTGCCCGGTGTGGGACCTCGGGGAAATTTTGCAGAGTATGTGGAGTGGTTGTTTGTGAATTGCGGCTCGGCATACACCATCGGCCCTGCTGAGGATGACATCACCACCAGCCCCACTCCACCACCAGAGA